CAGCCTCCCAGCTTTCCTGGTTGCTGAGATGAAAATGGGTGACAAAATGCACTCGCTTCCCGAACAGACACACACACTGACAGACTCTCGACAATATGCGTTTCTGGGAGCTGTAGCAGCGCTATAGCGCTATAGCGTTGCTACAGCTACCAGAAACGTATACTGTCGTGAAGTTATCAGTGTGTGTGTGTGTTCAAAAATTTTTGTTACCCGCATTCATAGTTAAATCCCCGAAGCTAGGAAGCCAGAATTTCGCATGCATGTTCCAAGCTCACATGCCGTTCAAGCATCTTAAAAGCAACTTTTACGTACAGTCGAATCTCACACACGACCTTCCCATTTTAATATCATCATTCACACACACCTGGGTTCCAAATGCAGATACCTTACAAATATGCAAATTTTTTAGTGGGAAACGATCTCGGGAACCAGAAGAGCGGGAAAACTGAAATTTTAAGAGAATGCTCTCTCTCCAAGTACAACTGAAAGATTTCAGATCCAGCCCCCAGGTATGCATGGTTCTCACGTACGGGTGCGTAAAAGCTTTGGCGGGGAAATTTCTCACTAAACACCTAAATTATTTTTAAAAAACAACCGTTAAACGGGGATTTTTCATTTCCCTTTTTCGCAAAATATATGATTTGCGCTACAAACATACAAAGTAAATATAAAACAATAATCATTCATACAGTCGATGACTTGACTGCATCAAGTTTAATGCAAAAATGCATGATCCTACTAGTAAGCTTGGTGCTTTTGAGCCTAGGATCAATTCAGCAACTAGAAAAGCTAGACCCAGGCTGGAACGCACCAGGCGAGCCGGTGCGATCATATGTTTTTGCATCAAACCTTGAGGTACTCCATCTTATTCCCCTGCCCTTGTCCCACCCCTCCACTTGCTGTTTCCGTCCTTCCCCAGCCCCCTCGCTGGACACCGATCTTCTCGAAGCTGTGATATTGTGCTACATTACACAGCACGTTTCAAAGCGGTATTCTGTGGGTACGGTAGGATGAGAAATATGTAGTCCACAGGTCCCGGTAAGCGGTCTAACGCTGTTCATCGTGGCGGTATGTGTGGTTG